AAAAATACAGGATTTCAATGGCTGTACCTGCTAAGAACTGTAACAGTAAAACTCAGCTAAACCTTATCTAGCAATCTGTACAGCAAATTTTATTTTGCAGCATTAGTGGTGGGGTTCAAAGTCTCACCTCCTTGAAGTCTGTGATTGCATTAAAAGAGTACTTCTGTAAATAAAAAGAAACTTTACTAGTTGAAGCAGTTATGGAGAAATGCTCCAAAGACAAACAACAAAAAAAAAAAAACATGGGGAATCTTCCAAAATTCAGTATTTTGAAATAAATTCTACTGTGTACCTCCCCAAACTCTTGACTTTCCTGCACCTAATGCTTTGTTAATATCCTCACACTGATTAGGTCTAACATAACAGATCACAACATTCACTGCACCTGCATCTTTGGGGCTATCAGAGGGTGCACAATGAACACTTGATAACAGTGTGCATCATGCACTGCAGGATGATGCACACCTTATTAACTGGCTAATAAAAGCCAATTAGAACACCAGTGAATGCATCCAGAGCTAACAGATTCTACCTCCTCGTTTAGTGAACTGTTGGAATAGCAGGAGAGTTCATACTGTAAAGTTAGAGGGAGAAAACTGGGCTGTTATTGAATACAGATTTTCAAGACCAATTCAGAAATGGATCACTGAGCTTTTCAACTTTTCCCATCCACTCCAGTGCATACTTTTCACTCTGGGGAATGGTCAGATATGGTCAGACAAGCTGTTCTCAGGGCACCTTCCTGAGGTCAAGGAGCTTCACCTGATCTCTTTCACCCTCCCTAAGGTCACCATGAGCAGCCTGCAGCCAAAACTGCAATTTAACCGGGCTCTGAGCCTACTGCTGGAACACAGAGCAGACACACACTGAAGGAGGACCTGGTTGTGTTGAAATTGTGAATCTGCATCAATCTCAGCATTCCTAATTCTGTCTCAAGCACTTTGTACTGACATATAGCACTACAATTTGACTGCTTAAACCCAGCTGTCTAACCTAAGCTCAAAAGCAAGGCCTTCTGTAGCTGCCCGCAGCCACTGCAGGGTCTATTCCCAAATCTCTTCATACAAGAATTCCCAAGTCTCTTCCCAAGTGTGTTCTCTCCTTCTTAGACATACGGAGCTTTTAGAGCTGCATGTCTCTCTCCACTGACTGAAGAGGGGAAACTTCAGGGTCAGCTTGCAGTAATACCCAATGTAAGGAACATAAACACCATTCTTCATTGCATGAATCACTGCACTCCAAAACATCAAAATATCAGAAACAACAAAGTAATTCCAAGAAAACTGTAAATCAAATATACTGCATTAGAGAAAAAATTAGATGTAACCTGTGAGTTTAGACTTTCCTGAATTTGATGCTTCAGGCAAGCCATATGCACTGTTTTTCAAAAAAACCCTTTGTCTTTAAAAAAACAATTATCAGCATTGGTGACTAGAGCAGAGTTTGCCCTTTGCCAGATATTTGTATTAATTATGCTTTGAAGGTGCCTGAATTAATCCATTCTGTGAAATATACATCAGTTAATTAAAAAATATTTTTCTTCAAGAATGAATATAATTCATTATGAAATAGGAGATTACGTTTCCTAAGTCAGAAATTCTTTGGGTGAAAATAAAATAGGTTTTGGAATAGACCTGTTTTCCAATTGACCTGACTGTTTAAATATTCCTGAAAGGCATCAGATCTGAACTGAAGGAGTGCAGAACACAGTGTGGGGATTTTATTATTGTCCTTTGTCTAACTTTGAAGCACTAGAGCAGGCAAACACATGGTACTGCACACCTCAAGAATGAGCTGCAGCTCTCTAAACATTGCACAATAGCAGGCACAGGGCCTGCAATGCCACAAACAGCACCACAGAGCCAGATGAGAGTGGTTTCTATGTCATAGAAGCAGCAGATCAGGAAACTTAGATATTTACTATCTCAATGAAAAGTCTGGATGAGAAATATCAAGGGCCTCTTAACTCTTTACCTATACATAAACTGCTCATTTGGGTATGCAAGTAAACAAATGTATTTTTCTTTATAAATGCAGGAGAAAATCCTCCAGACTTGGCCTGTATAGAAAAAACAAAAGTATTCTCAAGCTGTCCAGTGTAAAACTTATAGTGACAGGAATTAATAGGTGTCAGTTCACTAACAAAGCACCTCATCACTTAGAAAAATGCCAGTGACAAATAGTGGTATAACTCATGGAGGTGGGATGAAGGTGGTGCACATGAGGAATGTGCATTTCCTCAGAGGCCATAACATTAGGAATTACTCCTACCACGAGTGGAGAAGACAAGAGAGAACAAAAACCCCTCATTCTCAATTAGGCAAAAGGGCTTTTTGGCTGGTGCAGGGCTGACAAAAGTGTTCTGAGTAGCTCATTTCCCCATCCAAGGCACAAAAACTACTTGGATGCTCTGCACTGTGATGAGAGACCACAGGGGAGGGTGACAAAAAAGGAAACTTGATCAGATTTGGTAAAAACCACAGTTCTCTGCATGGTTCCATAAGATTTTGGGCCAAACAATAACCTGGCATAAGCTGTCACTGTTCTAGTGCTTTCTAGCTAAGGAGAGAAAGGGGCTTTTAAGCAGATAAGAATTTCCCTCACTGTGCTAATGTGTCTCTGCCAAGCCATTATTGGGATTTGTGCTGGCCTAGCTCTGTCCCTCAGGACATTCAGCAGACAAGCTCCAGGAATAACCATGAACCAGAAGTTTCTCCTGCAGGCACAGCTCCATAGCAAGCTGGCATTTGCACCAGACTGGTCTGATTCACTTCTTGGACAGCATTTCAGTGTAATGCCATGAGGCACAGCTCCTGTATCACTGCATTCATTCTGGGATCACCTACTGAGGACATTTGAAAGCCAGTCCTGAGATTGCTGTAGCTGTTAAGGCACATTCAAACTTCCTCAGCCCCTCTCTGTCAATGCCCTAAGGAAAGAAAGTTGCTCAGAACATGACTCCAAGTGTTCTGATGTGTAAATGCACTTCTGGTTGCCATCCCAGGATCCTCATTTACTCCCTTGCTATCCTCAGCCTCAAGGCTCCTTCCTGACCACAGCTGCTCCAATCCAGACCCCAGCAGACCCCTGAGGCCAACGTGCAGACAGATCAGCATCCCAACGTGGATGTTGGTGACTCTCCAAATACCGGATCCTCTCCAGGGGCTCCTCCTTCAATGCCCCTGGAGCCACACTGATGTGTTTCACTCTAAGTGAAGATTTTGTTGGCTGCACCCCAAAGTTATCTCCTGCCCAGACATCCAGAATTGTGAGAAACAACTACCAGACATATTCAAACTTTTCATGCTTTGACTGTTCTCTTTTCCCCCCTGTTATGGGACAAGTAAAAACTCTGAGGCTGTAGAATTTAGGCAATAATTTAATAGGAAACTGTAGCATATATTTCATCTATTTGGAGTTAATCAGATTTCGCATTTCTCCCAGAAATGAAGAGCCACAAGTTCCTCCCTACAAAACAACACCACATTTGCCATGTGAAAGGTCAAGTGAAAAAGTACTAAAGGAAGTCTTTGGCTTCCCACAGGTCTGGAATCTCACAATATTTAATGCAAAAGCTTATTTTCTACATGGAGTAGCCAAATATTCTCAGTACTCAAATAATACAAATGAAAAAAAAGTTGCAAAAATTCAGGCAAACAATGAGGTTTTTTTCATTTTTAGTTCCTCAGAATCCTTCAATAAGTCACTACTGGATGAAAGCCATGACCCCATGCACTGGTCTGAGTTCCACTTTCATTAGAAGTAATACAATAAAATTTAACTAAAAACTATAGTAAATGTTATCAAAAGTTCTTATTCTATTAGCACTGAAAATCTTGTATACATGAAATAACTAGAAAGAGTAACTCTATGGTAAAGGACTGGTAACAGGTGAAATGGAAAGTAAGGTTACAAGTCAGGAGCAAGTATTTGAAAAGTATTTGAGAAAAGACTTATTTATGTACTTACCAGGGAAAGTTATGCTTAAATTTAATGTTGTGTCATTAGATCAGGTTTTATTACCCATCCTCCTCCAGTTTTCCTACTCTCTCATCCTATATGAGTGATTCATTTAGACTATTCTTTATGCTAAGCACTGAGTTCCAAAAATGATCTATTACAAAGGATTAAACACAGTCAGAGCAAAAAAAATTATCGTCCTATAAACTTCATAAAGATGAAACCTTTGCCAATATATTTTTCTGTTAGTCTCTGTCTCCAAGTACCAATCAGTGTCAAGATTGCAGAGAAGACTGGTTCTAACTCTCTGCCCAAAAATATGCTTTGTTATTATCTGACCTGCCAGGTACCAGCAGGTCAAATAATCATCAGTGTTGTAATTTATATAATACTAAATTATAACCAAGTCTTGTCTTGATTCACAAAGCTGGGCACAGACTATATTTGTAATATTATTGTCCTATTACAATGCTTTTACTGAACTGCACATAGCAAAACAACTCACTTGACCAAAACAAAAAAAAAAAAAAAATAAAAATCACTTACGCCCTGTTAAAAAGATCCTAACTCTATTTCTGCCAATTGGATAAGCATGACTAAACTCCTAAAACTGTTCAGCCAGATCATTTAGGGATGCTTGGGAATATGTTTTATTAGACTAATTGGTGCATTAATCCTATGCATCAGTACATAACAGTAAAGAAATTAATTTTTAATGCTACAAATTGATTATTAAACATCCTACAGAAACAGCAAGAGATATATCTCAAGACACATTCTATGAACATACTACTTCACTCAAAACTTAACTTTTAAGGTTTACAATTCACTATGATTTTTAATGCTTAAGAAAAATTGTAAGTACATCTTTAAAGTATACTGCAGATGTTCTTGGGATTAAACTTGCCTAAAGATAGCATGACATAAGGACAAACAGTAGTTCTAAGTGCTCAACGACAGGCAGGCACTGTAGTCAGAAGTAGCATTTGTTAACATATGTTAACAATGTAGAAGGTGACACTTACGTAGAAATCTCTTACCTGCCTTGGTTGAGTCTCTCCTGATAAGGTTAGTTCTGTGAAAGATGCAAGTCTTTATGTATAAATCAGAAGCAAAGGTGTGCTTGGCACATCCAGTTTTCAGCAGAGCTCAAGTGTGATATGTGTAAGTAATAAATTGGCTTCTCAAAGTAGCTCAGACCATATTAATTGGAAACAGAGTCACTGCTTGCAAGGTTGCTGATGCTGCTCCTTCTGCTTTGTGCCTTTGCAGAGAGCTAATGTATGAACGAGGCAGAGAACAAATCCCTTTCTCTCTTTACCTTTCCTTCCTTCTCTTAAACGGTGAGTTAGAGTTCAGTTTCCCTGCAGCCGATGGCAGAGCACGGGCTGACAGTGCTGTTTCCTCCCCTGCCGAGCCACGCTGAATGTGTTGTGCATAAAGACAAAGCCCTCTACCAGAGCACCACACACCAGAGTAGGTGAGAGCTGCGAGGATGTGCTGTGCCTCTGCTCAGCGAGCCTCCAGCGCAGCTGGACAGGCTCACCCTGCTCTGCCCTCCCCTCTGCCGACCTGCACCAAAACCCCAGTCGGGATCACATCTCCCCTGCAAGGGGAGCCCCACTCTGCGCTGCCACAGCTCTGATCTGCCTCCTGGCTATGGATATCTGGGTGGTGTTATTTTTCTGCGCCATCAAGGGTGATTTAGTTCCAGTTTCTCCTAATGGCTAACTGGATAAAGTGTCAGCTTTTCTTATAGCAAATTAACCCCTGAAAAATCCCTACTAACACCAGGTTTAGGCTTGGTCCTGGAATTAGGCCTAAAGGGTACCTGGCAAATGGGTTTGCACATGAATAGTAGTGCTGTCCTCTCTACGCTCCCACCCCCCTTTTCTTTTAAACTCTAAGTAAAATATTCCTAGGTCAAATAGTTAACAAGTGGAAACTAGCAATGTTGCTATTGAAAAAATATGGTGAAGATGACAGTAAACAGGAAGGAAAAGTACCAAGTTCCCAAGGAGTAAACTGACCAATTTCAAAAGCCCAACTGAATACATGGGAAAAGAGTGCTGGTTTGAGTTCACAAACAATGGACTTGAAGCTATTTTAAGAAGATGATATTTATTTTCCACAGTACTATCTGTGAATGCTGAATACTAGCAGATGGGGAAGTCCTAAAGCAAAGACACTTCAAAAAACTTGCAATTTTAATATTGAATTTTTCAGATATGCATATATATGGCTACATACAATCCTATGCTTTAGTGCCCAATATGAAACCATATCAGCCTCCTTCCTCGGTGGCAAAAGCAGAAAACCAGAAAAACAAAAAACAAACCCCTTTTTCTTTAATATGTTTAAAGTAATAGTTATTGAAAAAGAACTTTCTCCCCTACCCATCTTTCCTGAACATGACAAGAACTTCTTCATCAGATATTCCCCCACTACTGCCTGTGAAATCTGGAAATCTCCAAGTCTTTTGAGCACTCAGGTTCTTTGACTGAGGGGAAAAGGGCACATTAGGGAAGAGAAGCTGTGATAAGCAATTCCTGACAGCATCTCTACTGCCCTGCAGGAGCTATGCTGGGTGAAGGACAGTTTTGGAGCCACAAAACATCACATGGAAACCTTGAAACTGGACAAAACTCCTGACTTTGCAGCAAAATGGCTGTGGGGTGTCAGATGTTAGTAGTGGCATTGGCTGAAGAATGAAGCCACTGCTCTCTTGTCCACACAACAACCTCCAGAGTCTTGTTCCAAAGCAGCAATCACCACCCATGGCGTTGAATAAAGACTTTGTGCTCTTGGGCACTTTCCATTGCCAATGAAAGTGAATCCATCCCTCATCAGTTCCATTCCTGGTCACTGTGTGAGCTAGATTTGACTAACACAGAAATTAGTGTGACCACTTCAGCACTCCTGTTAAATTCTCCTTTGTTTGAGAACACAGTCAGCAGATAGCAGTGCTATACACAGAAATATGTCACTTGTCCCAGGCTGATATTTACACTGAGTGTGATCCAGCTGTTGATCCTATTGTCACTGTTTTAGATGAATTTTAGTAACAAGGAAACAAAAATAGCACTTGGCAGCCTATTCCAGTTTTGTGTTCGTGTCTACAACAAAGAATATCGGGGACAATAAAGTTTTTACATTGGTGATCTACTCATTTTCCCAAGGATGCTCTTAGCAAGTTTGTTGTCTTTTCTAATAGGAAAGCTAATTTTTGAGGAAATTGCTATTCCTATGGGAAATACTAAGCACTTGGCACTCAGTTGTAAGTTTAACAAGTTAAATTGTTTGAGGGTGCTTGAGCACTGGCACTTGTACTTAAGCCTTTTTGCTTCTTCCTCCCTATGAGCAAAATATCCTGAAGCCTGGATCAGTGATCTGTTGCTTTCCTGCTGCTGTGTAGCACAGAGGTGTTAGAGTGTACTATAATAATCAATTTCTCTGGGAAGAGGAGATGCACATACAAAAGGTAAAGTTTCTTTTAACACCTCATTCCCAGGAGGAAGAGGAAGCTCTCAGTTCTCACTGGCTTTCAGTGGAGCACTCAGCACCTTAGGTCTTGCTGAGAAACTGCAGAAACCCAGCCAGAGCAGCAACACACTCAAGTCATAAAACACCATTAATCCTGTATTTACATAGTCAATATCCCAAGGGTTGCAGATAAAACTGCAGGAAAAATAAACAAAATATTATTAAAACCCCTACTTTATAATTTATTCTATGCCTTCATTACTTTATATAAATGTTTCCTGCCTTTTATTAAAATAAAATGCATCAAATCCAGTGGCACAGAACTTTAAAACTCCTCCTGGAATTTCTTTTATTCTGTATGACAAGCTAAAAGGAATAAATCCATTATCTACTACAGAGCAAAATATCCACTCCTGAGCAGCATAAACACCCTATTTGTGAATATTCAGAGACATAAAATTACCTGCACAAAACTTCTCAAGCAAAGAAGCCATCACTAACACTAGAAGCATTTCACAATAAAAATATTTTTGGCAGTCACTGGGAGAAGCTCTTCTAATCATCCATCTACTAATTCTTCACAAAATAATTAATGACCAAACACTAAACTAAGAGAGGATTCCTTTTAAGAGACCTAGAGTAGGAATTGAAAAAAAAAATCTATGCCAGGTCAGTGCTGAAGAGCAAACAACTTAATACTCACAAACTACTCTACTAAAATACCCCTAACAACACAAAAAAACCAAAGACTGCTCATATGATTTCAATAATAATGTTACTCATGTCATAAATTCTGTGAGTGTGGGAGCACCATTGTTTTCTCCTGTGAAAATTCCAGTAGTTTTGCCAAATTTTTGTGCAGTGTTGTGTGCTTTGCCTAACCTCCTCCTGAGGTTGGCACTTGTTCATGTCAAGCTTTTAGCAAAAGAGCCATCAGATACAGCTTCTCCTACCTGCAATTTTCAGATTGAAGGCACTGCTTCAATCTGAAACACTGCAGTAGAGTTCAGATCACTATCAAGTTATTGTAGCATGAGGAAAATATGATCTCAAGATATTCCTTGATGACCTGCATTGCAAAGGAGACACTGAAGTTAGAACCTCTGGGGAATTAATGAACAAGAATGACTGTAAATTAAACTTTTGGGGTTAATTTGTTTTAAATGGTAACCAAGAAGGTGGGTTTTGTTGAGTTTGGTTTTTTTGGTTTTGATTTAGTTCTAACAGAGTGGCCATGTCACATTAATATAAAACTGCATTCAGCTGATGGTGAGGATGTGCAATGGGTCAAAGTTAACTGAGACAAGGTATCTTAAACTTGTTAACAAAGTAACCTTAATGAATACACCTGCTAAAGTATCACCTCTATGCCTGACCTACTTTTCACATCACAAACACAATCATACCTTTCACCTTTTGAAGTTTGCCCATGATCAGCAGCAGTATGACAATAAACAGGACTGCCTCCAAATCCCCATGCTGGATAAATCATTTCTCTCTAATCAGATGCTCTCACATGAAAGAATGATGCTGCATATATTAATTGCATATTCCATTAGATCTTCACCTTCATCTACTGCAGCACGATGGCCCCTACCAGTTCTTTAATATTCCTGCATTTATAAATGTAAAATGTTTCTTTACAGTTATTCTTTGACTTGTACATCACCATCACACAGAAGGACTAGGAAGACAGAGTGCCTAAGAGTAGAGTAGAAGGCAAGGAACAGAGTCCTGTTTATTGCTAGTTAAGGCACCCCCAGCTGTTTTGGTAGACTCTGATCTACTGTGCCTCCATGTCAGCTCAGAAGCTAATTAACTGACTCCATGTGATTTCTGACAGCTATGAGCAGTTTACTGATTCGTGTGTTGATGAAAAAAGGCCTGACACTACTCCACTACTCCAACTTTCAGAGCTGAAGAGTTACTAAAAATGAAATCAAGCTCAGGGCAGGCAGATATGAGGTTCCCTTTCTTCTCTTCAGCTTTTTTACTGCCCCAGAAAGTGCCTCTGGGTTATCTGCTGCAGGCCAGCAATCTTGCCATCACAGCTCCAGAATGGGAGATACCAAATATTCAGGGTTCCTGAATAACCAAACCAGGCACCTGGAAATGCTGGCAGGCTGAAGGACCAGGTTAAGCCACATCCATTGTGTCCCAGAGGTGCTCAGTGCTGGTCAGGCTCTCACTGAGGACTTGGGGTGCTCTGCACCACTCAGAGCTACTGCTACATTTAGTCAGTGTCTGGATCAAATCAGAGAATCTTCAGAGCAGTTTAATTTCCTCTTTCCACAATCCCTTTTCTGCCTGCTCATTCAGAGATATTTCAGTTCTTTTTATAAGCGTAGAGGTCATTCTTCGACCAGTGCACAATCTTTTGTCAGATTTTATGTTTGTTAGGGATGTGTGAGACATAGTTGGATGGCAGACTCTTACATTTTTAGTTTAGGAATGATTGCATATCTACACAGAAAGGAAGACAAAATTCTGGCCAAACCCTCCATACTTTTTGTACATGAAATATTCAGTGGCTTAAAAGGGTATTTGGATGGATGAAGAACAAAGAATAAGTCCTTTCTTTTGTACATTTAGTGATCCATGCAACCTGCTGTATCTGGCCTTTCAAATCTCCTCTACAATGAAATATTTTTCACTTATAACACAGAAAGATTTTACAAGCCAAGGGGTATTAAAAGAACAACCTCATGTAATTCAATAGTAAAAGCATAACAACTGTCTAAATTACACTTGGCATGCTTCAAATGTTAAAGTACCTGATTTGAATGATAGCTTGAAAATGACTAAGGATGGAAAAATCTGAAGTTTAGAGTAGGGAAAGTTGACAACAATTCTATTACACAGGACACTAGTTTTTCAGCAGAAGGGAAGACAAATACAGTAGGTATAATAAAGTGCTTGTTAATGAAAAAGGACAGAAATTTGTCATTTTCTTTTGTGATGTTCCCTTTTAATAATGAACAATGCATTTGACAGAAAAAAAAAGAGAATGTGTCAGGAGAGAAACACTATGCAAGGAAATTTTTACATTTATGTCGGTCGTCAGATAACATTGTAATAGCTTGGTTATTCCTAGAGAGTAAAAGAAGAAAATCAAGATCAATTCTGCCTTTGAGCTACTGGGATCCTTCACAT